TGTTAAATAGTATTCCATTGTATGGCTATAACACAATTTGTCTATCCACTCACCTGCTAATGGACATTTGGGTAGTTTCTGGTTTGTAGCTATTATAAATAAAACTGCTATCGACAGTCATATGTATAAAGTATTGGGCAGACAGGGTGCTTGGGGGACACGGTTAAGTGTCTGCCTTCGGCTCAGGTCATGATCCCAGGGTCCTCCCTCTCCCCCTCTCTCTCTCTCTCATGAATAAATAAATAAAATCTTAAAAAATAAATAAATAAAGTATTGTGCACACATATGTTTTCATTTCTCTTGGGTAAATATCTAGGAGTCATGTGTGGGTATATGTTTATATACCTTGGGGAATATCTGAGTCATATGTAAGTATATGTTTCACTTTATAAGAAACTACCAAACTGTTTCCAAAGTGATTATACCATTTTACATTCCCATCAGCAAAGTATAAAAATTCCAGTTTCAACCTCCTTCCCAACATCTGTAGGGCCCCTTTTATTCTATTTTAGCCATTCTATTGGTAATTCATTGTACTTTTAATTTGTATTTCCCTAATCACTAGTGATGTTGAGCATCTTTTTATACACTTATTGAGCACATATATTTTCCTTTGGGAAGTGCAGGTTCAAATATTTTGCTCATTTTTACTGGGTTGTCTTATTGACTTGTGAGTATTCTTTATATAGTGTATATACAAGTATTTTGATAGATATGTTAAAAATCTCTCTCCCCATCTGTAGATTGCCTTTTCATTTTTGTATTTCAAAAAGCAAAAGTTCTCTTTTTTTAAATGAAGTTCAACTTACCATCTCTTTTATATATGTCATGCTTTAATGTTCCAACAAACCTCCGCCTACCCCAAAGTTACAAAGATATTCTATCTGCTTTCTTCTAAAAGTTTTACAGTTTTTGTTTTAATTTCAGACTTTGACATTTACATCTATAATCCATTTTGAGTTAATTTTTGTATATTAAGTGATGTAATCAAAACATTTACTTTTTTTCCAGACTGCCCTGGGGCAGTAACCCAGATTCTGGCATTTACTGTAGACCTTGGGCAACTCAATATTTCTGGGACTGTTTCATTACCAATAAAATATAGGATTGCTGAAAGGATTTAAGTTAATTTGTGTTTAATACTTGGCACATGTTAGGTACTGCTAACACTGCAGATATGTATCACATTAGAAAAGTAATCGCCCTGGGAGAACAGGAAAGATGACTGAAAGTGTGAAAGTTAAATTGTATATACATGGAAAGGAGAAAGAAGGCACTGGTTGCTGAAAATGTGCAAGACATTTGTAAGGCATTAAACATCAACTCTCCCCCCACTACCGCCACGTGTTGGGCTGGTGTGTAACTATACAAGACACATAGATTCTAATCTCTCCTAAGTTCAAAACCCACTTTAAGCCACCCCTTTGATGTGTGAAATTGAAATTTCTAGGGGCTAGGAAAAATGCTTGCTCTCATTATACAGAGAGCTCAAACTTCTGGTGTAAGAATCCAAACTGCATCATAAGAATCCTTTGTTGGTACAAATATTGCCTGAGGGTTATTACTTTGAAATAAATGCAATTTAATAAAGGTTTATGTAGCACCAAGACTATGGAATCTTAATAACTCCTGAAAAATGAAACTCATATATTCCCACAATAAAATGTTCATTGTTCAAGCTCATAAGGGCTTCACTGAGAGTGATTCCATTTTCACTACACCAGGCCACAGCATGAGCTTCTTACCATTGTGGTTCCCAAATATCCCTTGACATTTGCATAAAGGTTTTAACTGCGACCCTTGGAGGCGCTATCTTGGGTGCATTGTCTGCTCAAAATCACCATACACTCCCCATACCCAAAATTAAAATAAAGACCTCTTTTTTATGACTACAGGGAGCTTCTCCACACTTCTTTCAGAGATCGGGCAACTTTAGTCCTCAGCAACCAGCATCAGTGGCTTCCAGTGGCCACCCATCTCCCAAACAAAAGTCAGAAGAAGTCTAAATGGTGAGACTGTGCTCTTAATGTTTTCTGAGGCCCTAAACAACCACAAGCAGAAAAAAGAGAGAAAAGGTCAAAATCAACAACATAACAAAATTTTCCTATCACACTGATCACTACAAGGTAATGCATGTTACAGAAGGAGAAGCCAAGTTTCTGTCAATGCCCTCCAGCCAAAGGTCACCAGGAACACACAGAGTTGGCTTTATTGCTCTTTGCAATAAGGAGATGGACAAACAGGGAACCGTGGGGCATCTCAGTAAAAGGATGTTGAAAAGCACTTCTTATTGGATTTAGTCTTGCGTTAGATGATTGGGTAAGGGGGCGCAGTTCAAGGAAGTAGGGCTCTTCTCTGCATTGGATGTTGTCAAGAGTAGGGGGCAATTCTATGATTGGAATAAATCTCATCCATAAGATAAAAAGAATGAATCAAGGCAAAAGGTATAATTGGTAAAGAATCAACAGTCGAGGGGCACCTGGGTGGCTCAGTCGATTAAGCATTTGCCTTCAGTTCAGGTCATGATCCCAAAGTCGTGGGATCAAGTCCGGCATTGGGCTCCCTGCTCAGCAGGGGGTCTGCTTCTCCCTCTCCCAAATAAAATGTTGTTTATGTGAATGTGTTGTTCTGTGAAGCCGGTCATGTTCAACAGGACACCATGGTCTAACTGCAAATGTCAGGCCAGCTCCTAACAATGACAGGGCCCACCTGATAGCACAACATCAGTTCCTAGCTGTCATCTTGTCAGTTGTGTGGAAACACACACCAAGGAACATGACCTAGTCTAAAAGATGGTGGATGGCTTCCCTGAGGAACTGACATTTCAACTGAGAGTTTAAAAGATAAAAAGTCTTCTGTTGCCACAGCTCAGAGGTTCACTTCTTTCTATTTCTTTCCACTCAACAATGCTATTTTTTCCTGCAAGTGAATTATGCCTAGGGGCGCCTGGGTTGCTCAGTGGGTTAAGTGGCTGACTCTTGATTTTGGCACAGGTCACAATCTCATGGGTCTAGATGGATCTCTGCCTCGGGTCCAATGCTCAGCATGGAGTCTGCTTGAGATTCTCTCCCTCTCCTTCCCCCTCTGCTCCTCCCCTCAACCTACTCCTGCTCTCTCTCTGTCTAAAATAAATAAATAAAATCTTAAAAAAAAAAAATCATGCCTAGACAGCATGAATCAAAGCTGGCTTCTCACATCACTCCCAACCTTCTCTAAAATGAGAGCATTACCTAGCTGTGGAGTTTCTATGGTAGTTGGTGAGAAAATTAATAATAATAGTAGTAGGAGTAGTAATAATAATATGCCAGTTCAATTCAAAAGGAAAGTAAATGATAAATAATGCATACAAAAAAATTGGACTAAAGATGTTTAAAGACATTATAAGATTATTGGACAGGAAGTAAAATGATCCAATGTTTCCTTTCAAAAGTGCATTTCTGATGTAGAGTGGGATATTGAAAAATGGAAGACTTGGTCTTCAAAGTTAGTGAGCTGAATTTGATTAATACCTGAAGCAAAAGTGAGGGGAAAAAAATTGTATATATCCTTTTTTCTACCTCATTTCAAATCTTGATGGTATAAATAAGAAATAGAAGTTTATCCTGCTGCAAAACTCACCTGATCAGAGTCTTTAAGTCTCATGGAATTCCAGATCTTCAGAAGACTTTAGGAGTTTAGAAAGGTTAAAGCCTCGGATCAACAGGCTGAACGCCCCACCTGCTATTAGACTGAACAATAGATGATTTTAAAAAAATCTTTTTATTATCTGGCAAAATAAAAGTATCCCTCTGAGAACTGGCTGTGCCTCTGCACTGGGAATAGGGTACCCCACTCTTAAATCTAGAACGACCACGAGGGAGTATCTGGGTGACGATGCATTGGGACTTTTCTTACCACTTATGGCTTGGGTATTTGAATTCCCAGTGGCATCTTTATTTTAAATATTTGGTTCTGAGGATAAACCATGGTAGTAAAATACGGTAGTTGTGTTATTTTGTATTTTTCTGGCCATCGAGAGAGAATGCATTAGTAAACATCTCAAAGTCATTTTTGGTATTTTACTTATAAGTTCAGGTTTAATTTCAACAAATTAATTCTGATCTCTGAGGGTCCCCTAATTAGTCAAAAATTGTGCTGCATACTTTTGCCTCACTCCCATGCAACAATGTGGTAGAATAAGTATTAATATGCCTGGGGTTTTTTGAAAAAGAAGAGTTAATAAGGAACTATATTATTCTACATACGACGTTTAGTAAATCAAAGTGCTGCTGATGGCGAGAAGCCCAGCATACGAAATAGCACAGGAATCTCATCTCTGACCAAAGACAATCTTCAAAGTACATTAGCACAGGTTCAGAAATAGTGTGAATTCAGAGAGCCAAGCACAGAAGTCCGCAGAGCAGATCTCTTCTACAGATATGGAGATTGAACACTGTTTGACTGCAAATCAATTTCACAGGCACTCATAAAAATGTCTGTGTAATTACAGGGTACCAAACCCAATGCCCAGCATCTGAGAAATAGCCTGAGAAGGCAGGGGCTAATTACTGCCTAGGATATAAAAGGGCACAAAGCACCTGGGAATCTAATTCCAGTTCACTACAACATGCAGCAGTGGGTGTCTAGAAGTTAAAACACTCTTAGATTTCACAGTTCTTTTTACTGATAAATATTTGCCAACATATCTTATATAATCAGACATATTTTAAGAGCTTGTAAGTTCTACTCATTTACAAGCAAGTTGCAAGAGCAGCCTCAGCAGCCGAAGGGCAGGAGAACTGCGCTGCAAGAGAGTCACATTGTCGGGACCCTCTGAACTGTTTTCCTTTCTTTTTTTCCACCGTTCTATTTTGAATACTAAAGGAGAATTTGCTCAATATTTCTGTTTTTGTAAATAATCATTTTTCTTTATGTTTTAAAAAAAGAAAAAAGGTATGGACGTTCATTTTGGCTGTTTTATTATGATGTATAGCTAATGATCTGTCAGGTACTATTAGCTGCTATCTGACGTACCACACATAAATAAACAGTGCAGCAGGCTCAAGACTCTCACCCATTTTGGAAAACAAAGGAACACGACGGTAACCTGCAAAAGGAATCATATCTAATTAGGACAATAAAAATAAACCAGCAGTGTTCTCGATAGTGCTACCAAGAATCTAGCTTTACTAAGCATATGTAAAAACTATAACTGCATAGTTATATTCATCTTGTATATTAATTTCCTAGAAAAAAGAAAATATCTGGTTTCTGTTCTGACTTCTTATTGCCTAACACTGAGCACACAGCTCACACTTCTCCTCCCTCAAAGTGCAGTGTGCTAAATTAGCCACCATCCTTCTGCTGCAGAAAGACTGTTTCTGAGGTACCGCTCAGATGGTGATAGAGAAGTAAACACATTGGGACAAGGTAATTGGAGGAATAGCATAAATCACCTCTGCAGGGTGACTGCAACATAAAGGCAGCTCTGAAAGAGTCAAGAAAGGATGATCTTGGGCTCCCAGGCTCTTCTTGGGCTGGCAGAATGAGTCACTGCTTTTCCCTTCTCTCTGATTCCATGCTTTATTTCTTTGTGGTAGTCATGACTACTCTTAATTGAAACAAAAGAGTGATGATCCATGTAAAGAAATGCTCATCCATGCCAAGTTTGTCTAATTTATCTTCCTAGCGATCCCAAACCACAATCCCACCTTCCACATGAGAACACGTTTCTGTAATATACCACTGAGAGAAAATATGTGTCAATACATAAAATTTCCTTTACATCTGACTTTCATTTGGTGTATACATGTGTGTCTTTGGGAAATGTAAGTTCTAATTGTTAGCACAACCATCTTACTTTTTGGAATATTACCTTTGTTCATGCATAGAACTGGTAAAGTATATTGGCCAAGAAATTCATTTCCGGTTATTAAACCTTGATTTTCAACAACAAAACGTATCAAAGCCAATTCTGGCACCTGAATAATGAATGTGAATGTTTCATTCCATCTTGGACAAAAAGCTGAAATATAAAGGAAGATATCATCAAAGAATCATAGACACTATCTCTAGGGAGTAATGCATGGTATCTGTTCTCTGAAATTTTTCTTTTCAACACTTAGTAATATTAACAGCTTATGTTTTAGAGCACTTAAATTTTTCACACATCCAATGAGAAAGGAATAATAATGACAGTAACAATAATTATTGGGTTTTTAGTATTGCTGGGCAATACGATAAGAACTTGAAGTAGATAATCTCATTTCATCCTTACAACAAACCCATCAGGGTTATTAGTATCCATATTTACAGATGAGAAAACTGAGCCAGAAAGATGTTACGTAACTTCCTCGGGGTTTCACACACACAGCCATTAAGTGGCAGGACAGGAATTCAAACAAATGGAGTCCGATTTCAGAGCAGAAACATTTCATCACTAGGCAATATGACTGCTGTGTTTAGGCATTGCCCTAACAAAAGAGTTAAATAACATCATTTTTCTATACCGGCTCCTATTATGGGAAGAGCTCCATAGACAGTTGTTGGCCTGAGAGCTAAGTACTCCAAAGCCAGCCTTTGATCCTTCTTTTGAATAAGTGTTCATTTTAAAGTCCCAAGTAGATGAGTCATTTAGATCTCCAGCAAAATAATCATCCCAAACAACCATCTCTTGCCAAGTAAGAAATCCAAATTGTGTCACAATATGACCCAAATCATCCAATACTTAAGCATAATTTAATGGAATTAAGAAATTCACATCCAGATCAAATATACAGCCTACTTAGATTCAGAGAAAAATAATATGTATTGCTTTCATGTACAAAGGTAATGTCGATAGGTTTTGTTCTTTGAGTTACCTTTCCAGAAGTATGAAAGAATTTGTGACTAATTATATTTTCTGTTTTCTGTGGTGCATCTGTGGGCACAGGCACACATTTACCAGATAATAATCCAGGATGCAATCTATGCCCATGAAAATATTAAACCAATTGACTCATGCTGGTATAATGAATGTATTGTCTTTCCTTAAGAAAAGAAATAATTCCATGGAGTGCAGGGGCAGATCTAAGAGTCAGTTCTTTTTTTATTTTTTAATCTTTTTATTAACATATAATGTATTATTTGTTTCAGGGGTACAGGTCTGTGATTCATCAGTCTTACACAATTCACAGTGCTCACCATAGCACATACCCTCCCCAATGTCCATCACCCAGCCACCCCATCCCTCCCACCCCCCACCACTCCAGCAACCCTCAGTTTGTTTCCTGAGATTAAGAGTCTCTTATGGTTTGTCTCCCTCTCTGGTTTCATTTTGTTTCATTTTTCCCTCCCTTCCCTATGATCCTCTGTCTTGTTTCTCAACTTCCTCATATTAGTGTCAATTCTTTATAGACTCTTTAAAATGTGCACAAAATTCTTATACTGATTTATCTTCCTCCTCTAACCCTACTTCATTATAAACTCTCTCTCTCACACACATACACATATAGATCATATGTATTATATGCAAAAGCCCTTTTAGGAAAGAAAGAAAAGAAGAAAGAAAGAAAGAAAAAGAAAGAAGAAAGAAAGAAAGAAGAAAGAAAGAAAGAAAGAAAGAAAGAAAGAAAGAAAGAAAGAAAGAAAGAAAGAAAGAAAGAAAGAAAGAAAGAAAAAGAAAGAAAGAGGGGCGCCTGGGTGACTCAGTCGTTAAGCATCTGCCTTCGGCTCAGGTCATGATCCCAGGGTCCTGGGACTGAGCCCCGCATCGGGTTCTCTGCTCGGCCGGGAGCCTGCTTCTCCCTCTCCCACTCCCCCTGCTTGTGTTCCCTCTCTAGCTGTCTCTCTCTCTCTCTCTCTCTATTAAATAAATAAAATAAAATCTTTAAAAAAAAAAAAGAAAAGAAAAAGAGAAAAAGAAAGAAGAAAGAAAGAAAGAAAGAAAGAAGAAAGGAAAGAAAGAAAGGAAGGAAGGAAGGAAGAAAGAAAGAAGAAGAAAGAAGAAAGAAGAAAGAAAGAAAGAAGAAAGAAAGAAAGAAGAAAGAAAGAAAGAAAGAAAGAAAGAAAGAAAGAAAGAAAGAAAGAAAGAAAGAAAGAAAGAAAGAAAGAAGAAAGAAAGGGAGAAAGGAAGGGAGGAAGGAAGGAAGGAAGAAAGAAGAAAGGAGAGAGGGAAGGAGGGAGGGAGGAAGGAAGGAAAGAAAGAAGGAAAGAAAGGGGGAGAGGGAGGGAAGGAGGAAAGGAAGGAAACCAGGATAACAATTTGATAGTTACAAGCATAGTTTTCTCGGGCATGACCAAAACTGAAGAATTACTTCCACACCTTATCCAAATGTGATCTTTTTTCCTTCCAGACTCTCATTTCTCTTATTATACCGCAATTACTCTAGGAGCTAAGCCATCCTAGAATCCCTCTTGTCCAGCTATCTAGACTTTTATTCCTGCTAGTCTTCCTCATATACATCCTCCACCCCTTTTCTGATGCCATGGGCCTTCTTTGACTGGAATTCCCCATCCTCTAGCCATGAAATCATATCCTGACTCTATTTTGTATTTTCATTTCTCTCGCATACACTTCTTCCTATCAAATCTGCAGAAACAATCTCCCTAAAACTCAAGTATGTTAGTGCTATATCCCTGTTCAAGAGTTTTAATTTTGTTCATTTTCTACAGAAAAGAAATTACCTAACATCTTATCATGGCTTTCACAATTTTCCATGGCCATACCCAACATAACTTTCTCATTTTATCTTTAAGGACCCTGTATTCCACCCATATTAAATTTCTGTATTTTTCCCTAGCATATTTGAATTTAGTCTTCTCCAGGTGTTAGGGCTCATATTATTCCTTTTGCCTTCAATGCCTTCATCCTCAATCTCTGTAAAAAATTCTATTCATTCTCCAAGAACCATCTCCAAATTTGCCTGTTCCACTACAATTCTCATATTTTCCTTAAAACACTAATGACTTTATCATAATTGTTTTATTGTATCTCATCTCTCATGCCAAACTGAGAACTATCTAAAATAGAGTTGATCGGGACATACATAGTAATATGTTTAATAAACAGAGATTTTAAGTTTCTTTGATACTTATCACCAGGATTCTAATAAAACAGGCTCAGTATTGTTAGATAAAGCAAATTTAATTTCTGTAGGAATATTTCCATAAAACCCAGGGATATAATCTAAATTCTAATGGGAGCTAGAATCATATTATGAGAGGTGCATTGAATAAACAAATGTTCCGTGCATTTTGTTATGAAGATTCAAGTAAGGGGATGAAGAGAACAAGAGAAAGGGTACTATATGCTTCCTGACATAGCAATTACCATTTCGTGACACCGCCATCGTAGTATGCCTTCAACTCTAAGGCATGCCAAATAGTGCAGTGAGTCTTCACCAATATCCCTTCCCATAGATAACCTAGGATGAAGTAGCCAAAACTTCCCACATCTTCTTTCCATACCCTTTGCACTAGGGGGACACTGGAGGAGTATTTGGGGTGTCACTACAGGGGCAGATGGTGGATATTATTGGAGATCATCACCCAAGGAGAAAAAGACTAATACAACTGCACCTGTTTTTCCATTGGTGCCATTTAACCTGGCACATATTTCCAGACTCACAAATGAAGCCCACTCTACTTTGGGAATATCCACCCAAAGAAGATTTTAGACTCAAGAATCAGTTCCCAGGTCTCCTCCAAGGTGACCCTGACTAAAGGTCAATCCCAGGAATCTACACTTTAATATCCTTAATGATTTCACCCTCAACAAAGATGTGACGCTGTTAGTAGTGTATTATATAAAATATCACGGGATGCTGGAACTGAAAATCTTACCCAAGTCATTTCTTCCATTCCTACATTTCCCTTCTGGCAAAAATGACTGAATTATGAATCCAAATATTGTATGAGTAGGTTTCTATGGCATCCTTAGCCAGAGCCAAAAGCCACAGACCTTTGATCTAAAATAATTCAAACAGTGAAATAAAAATGGGTAACATACTATATCAGAATAATCATATGTTCTTTATTTTACACAAAGGTTAGAAGCTAAGTAGATTTGCAGCCATCAAAATGTCCCTTTAATTCAGCAATATGGGAAGAAACATGAAAAGGAGGTCAAAGGAAAAAAAAATAGTAATTTTTCAGGTCAGATAAATTTTTGTATCTGTAATCTGAAAATATATCTAAACAATACATTGAATCACTATCAAATTGTTTTCACTGCATATAACCCTTTGGTCAGCTAAAACCTAATTCAAAGCCCTTGCCTTAGGAATAATAAAACTCTATCACTAGATAAATTTTAAGCTTTCAAACAAGAAGCCTAGTAGAAGTTCAATAAAAATATATTGGGAGCTCACCATTTCTTTTAATTACACGAGTCTGCCGTTTCACATGATCATTTGGAACACCAAAAATTTCTAGAACCACTAGTGTGTCAGCTTTGTTAGATGATGAATGGTTACTGGGAGGTAACTGGATACCACTGATGAGCTGCACAAAAATATTTGAATGCAAAAATTTAAAAGGATATCAAACTGCATAATCACATAATTTCAAAATAAAATATGTATTCCAAAAAAATAATAGACTCTCAGTTCCCACAAAAAAATTAAAAGTGGAATATAACACAAATTTTAAAATTTAACTCTTATCCTCAAGTGTCAGTAAGTGAATACTAGGAATATGTCTATATTATTCCACTTTACTAATATATAGTTATAGTAAAATTCACATTGTCTGGGATTTATAGTTCAACATTTTTTTAATTTTTAAAGTCTTTGTTATGGTTGTTATAAGGCACTGCTTAAAAGTATTGTTAGAATCATAGTCTACTGTAATTCAGCTTGAATTACTCTGAAAACATGAACTATCTTGAAATTCATACTGTATGTAAACAGCCAAAAATTAGAAACAATATTAATACTACTTCTGAAATGTAAGAAAAAACACTGCATAATTTCCTATGACAGTATTTTTTTCATAGTATAATTTATGTTTGGATAATTTATGATAAAATTTTATATTATTTATTATTGTCAGTATTATCATAAGTAATTTGAGTCTGACAAAATCAATGATTTCATATGTATATTAGGGACTGGGTATCAGAAGAACACTTAAAGTAATTTACAATAGTTTCATTTAACCTTGTATTAGTCAAACTAGCTGTTGAAGCAAAGTTTTGTCTTACTTTAGGGAACAAAGTCCAAACAAAAAACACTATTTCAAAGTGCACTAATTTGTAAAATGTACTAATATAAAAATTCAGGCATAATTTCAATTTCTGAACATTATAATAAAAAGGAACAAAAATAATTGTTTGAAAAAAAAGAAAGGAGGAAGGAAAGAAGAAAGGAAGAGAAAAAAAGAAAAAGAAACAGAAAAAGTGCCAATGTATAATTTTTCCTTTCCTACATCCACACATTATAACATTAGCTGGAAACCAGAGTGACTATGTAAATATTTAACAACAACTATGGAATGGGCATTGATCAATCAGCCTAATTAGACATCAGGGAAGTTGGAACATTGGCCATAATCAATAAGTACACTGATACCAGAGCCTCCCAGCTGAGTATCTCCTCCGCAGGTTAACAGACCCTTACCAATATGGAGAAGGTTCGGCTTTGGTGCACCTTGTGTCAAGAAATATATAAAATAAAAAATAATAATAATTGAATATCAGAACTGAAAAAGAATTTAGAGTCTATTATTCAAATACTTTTTACACTCTGAGTCACAGAGGCTTTCCAGGTGCCACCACGGAGATAGATATCAAAAAGAAAACCCTTGATGGTCAACTAGAGTACCTCTGCTTTCATCTATTGGCCTTATGCATAAGATTTTGAACTTAGAAAATGGTTGTATCGTATTTATAAGTTTGAGAATGATTGACCTAATCCAAAACTCTCCATTTGCAGATGACAGAGATTAAACCAGAAATGTTGAAATGTCTTCATCAAGGACATAAAGCTAATGGTAAAACTAGGTCTCTTGATTCCCGAGTCATGCCTTCCACAACTTGTACAAGTTGTAATCAAAGCTCTCCAGGACGATCAAAGCAAGAGAGAAGGACCCACATGGCTATGGCAGCAGTTTGCCAGGAAAATCATTAATCCTGCCTGTTTTATTACCTACATCCCTATATGCCACTTACATCCCTATATGAGACCCTTCAGAAACAAACAGGTGGCATCTGTAAACATCTGTGCATACTAGCTATCTTCCATCTTTGCTTTCTCAATGAAAGAACACATCTGTTGTCCTTACTATTTCTAACTTGCAAAAGAAATCATTCAATTAACTTACATATATTGAGCATACACTTTGTGTCAGGCACTGTGGATAAGACTTGAACAAAACACAGTCTTTATCCTTCCAGGGCCTTCAGACAAGTGGGGGAGAAACACAAGTCCAAGTAAATAAACAATTACAGACATACCTCATGTTATTGAGCTTTGTTTTACTCTATTTTGCATATATTGCATTTTTTACAAACTGAAGATTTGTGGCAATTCTGCATTGAGCAAGTCTATGGGCACCATTTTCCTAACAGCAATTGCCCACTTCATGTTTCTCTGTCACATTTTTGTAATTCTCACAATATTTCGAACTTTTTCACTATTATTATATTTATTATGGGGATCTGTGATCAGTGATCTTTGATGTTACTGTTGTGATTGTTTGGAGGTGTCACCAACCATGCCCATATAAGACAGCACACTAATACATGTGCGTGTTCTGACTGCAGATAGGGTGGAGACAGCAAGAGAACTACAGTCAGAATTGGAGCCCCAAGATGTGACTGAATTACTCCAATCTCATGGTCAAACTTGAACAAATGAGGAGTTGGTGGATGAGCAAAGAAAGTGATTTCTTGAGCTGGGATCTACTCCTGGTGAAGATGCTGTGACGATTGTCGAAATAACAACAAAGGATTTAGAAGACTACATCAACATAGTTGACAAATGGTACCACAGCCACCCTGACCTTGAGCAACCACCACCCTGATCAGTCAGCAGCCGTCCACATCCAGGCAAGACCTTCCACCAGCCAAAAGATTGTGACTCGCTCAAAGCTCAGATGATGGTTAGCACTTTTTAGTGACAAAGTATTTTTAATTAAGGTAGGTACATTGTTTTTTTAGACATAATACATTGCACATTTAATAGACTATAGTATAAACATAACTTTCATATACTCTGGGAAACCAAAAAGTTCATTTGGCTTGCTTTATTGTGATATTCACTCTATTGTGGTGGTCTGGAACCAAACCTGCAATATCGCTGATGTATACCTGTATAATACATATTATGGCATAGGGTGTTATGGAAAAACAAAACTACAAAAAGAAGCCTAACTAATTTAGTGTAGGAAAAAAAAAAAAAAAAACTTCTGAAAAGAAGTGACCCTTGAGTCTTGAAAAATGAGTCTGAATGCAAAAGGCAGGTGAAGGATGGGAGAATGACCCAGTCAAATGAAAAAGCATATGTAATGCGTGGAGGTGTCATATGGTTACAGAATAAGGTGCAAGACTAGAAGTGGAGAAAGATGGGCCTAGAGAATTAGGCTAAGCCCTGACTGAGAAAGCAAGCAGGACACCCAAAGAAACATTAAGTAGGCACAATGAGATTAGCACTGGGGCACAATGTCTCTGGGCAATTTGTGGAAGACGAATCAGAACTGAGACAGGCTATGTGAAAAACCCTTAGGAGGCCAAAGAAATAAATGTGATGACAGGTAACAAATTCCTTAAAAAAGGGGGAGGGGGGCCAGTGGCAAATGGCATCAGACCAAGGGATTGGATAAGGATGACATTTCTAATCAATAAAATTTAGAGATGGGACATGGGAAGTAACAGATGTGGAAGAGAAGAATGCTTCCCAATTTTCTAGCCTGAATTAATTGACACAATGAATTCAATGGAGATCACTGACATTTAAAGAAAATAAGATTGGACTAGGAAGGGATGTTCAGCCTTTAATATATTAAGCTTAACAGAACAAGGATTAAACAGGTAAGGATGTTAAGTAGGATATTTAAAATATGTCTTTACATTCCAGAAATGAAGGCAGATTGAAGATTTGAGCACTGTTGGTAGTTGAAACCATCAACGTATATAAAAGGACACAAGGAGAATATTTAGAGATAAGGATTAAGAAAAAGCCTTAGCCTAACAGACACATGAAAAAATGCTCTACATCACTTGGCATCAGGGAAATACAAATCAAAACCACAAGATATCACCTCACACTGGTCAGAATGGCTAAGATTAGCAAGTCAGGAAACGAGATGTTGGCGAGGATGTGGAAAATGGGGAAACCTCTTGCACTCTTGGTGGGAGTGCAAGCTGATGCAGCCACTCTGGAAAGCAATATGGAGGTTCCTAAAAAAGTTAAAAATAGAACTACCTTATGATCCAGAAATTGCACTACTAGGTATTTATCCAAAGGATACAAAAATAGTGATTCAAAGAGACACATGCAACCCAATGTTTATAGCAGCAATGGCCACAATAGCCAAACTATGGAAAGAGCCCAGATGTCCACCGACAGATGAATGGACAAAGAAGTGGTATATATATATATATATGTATATGTGTATATATATGTATATGCTTACTTTGAGTAGTATTCCATTGTATATATTCATATATACAATGGAATACTACTCATCCATCAAAAAGAATGAACTCTTGCCATTTGCAGCAACATGTATGGACTAGAGGGTACTATGATAAGCAAAATAAGTCAAAGAAAGACAAATACCATATGATTTCACTCATGTGGAATTTAAGGAGCAAAACAGATGAACAAAGGGGAAGGGAAGAAAAAATAAGATTAAAAACAGAGAGGGTGGCAAACCAGAAGAGACTCAACTCTGGGAAACAAACTGGGGGTTGCTGGAGACTAGGTGAGTGAGGCGATGGGGTACCTGGGTGACAGGCAGTAAGGAGGGCATGTGATGTAATGAGCACTGGGTGTTATATGCAACTGACGAATCACTAAATTTTACCCCTGAAACTAATAATATGCTATATGTTAACTAAATTGAATTTAAATTAAAAAAATTTTTAAAAAAGAAAAAGCCTTAACAACATAAATACTTCAGAGGCAGGTAGAGTAAAGGAGCCCACAAATTTGAGAAAGAAAGAATCACTTGGGAAGAAGAGAAAAAAAGAGAGAGAGAGAGGGAGAGAGGAAAGCCCCAGATGCACAGCAAGGAGATTTGTGAAGAGTAGGAGGGGACCATACAAAGTGGCTGATTCATCCCTTTTTCTCACTAGAACAGCTACTACAATGACTAGATTAGGTGTTTAGAACAATGTAGCTTTTCACATATTTTCATTCACGCAAAAAAACAACAGGCAGACACTGGTACAAATGTGGAAAATGTTGAAATACCACCCACCTTACAGGGGCTAAAGAGATCAACAGAAATTTAAAGGCCCTAAAGGAAGTCAATGGAACTTAAAATATTAATGTATACTTTCTAGCTTATATCATAACAAAAAGTAAAAGAAAAAGTTATTAATCTTTTAAATTTTTGTATTAAAAAAATACAAAAAAAAGGGTGCCTGGGTGGCTCAGTTGGTTAAGCGGCTGCCTTTGGCTCAGGTCAGGGTCCCAGGATCCTGAGATCGAGTCCCACATCGGGTTCTCTGCTCATCGAGGAGTCTGCTTTTCCCTCTGTGCTCTCCCCCTCTCTCTCTCTCTCAAATAAATAAATAAAATCTTAAAAAAAAATAAAAAATAAAAAAAACGCCAAAGTTATGATAATATTTGCAAAGTAAGCTTAATGAAGAATATTTTGCTGGATCTTAGAAAGAGTGCCAACTAATTGATTTGGGGCAGCATCCAGTGCTGGAGGCAATTTCTACTATATGCCCCTACTTTTCTACCCTACATGCCCCTACTTTTAGAGTCACAGAATCCAGGGCGTGTGGGTAGCTCAGTCAGTTAAGCACCCACTCTTGATTTTGGCTCAGGTCACAATCTCAGGTTTGTGGGATCCAGACCCACGTCAGACTCTGTGTTCAGCATGGAGTCTGCTTATCCCTCTCCCCCACCCCCTTGCTTACATTCTCTAACTCTCTTAAAGAAATAAAATCTTTAAAAAAAATTTAAAGTTACAAAATCCCTAACAACCAAGGAAAAAGTCAGCTACATACTCACTGGTACTGTTTCTTTCAGGGGCTGAGATCATTTCTTTCTCATTCAACTTTGCTCTACTCTCTTTCCACATTAATCTCTGAAAGATAGCAACATCTCTTAAATCTCCATTCTAAGCCAGGACAAAAAGGCTAGGGCCGGAAGTGGATGAAAGTGGTCCCCCAAGTCCTGTGACATCAGGACAGTAGAGGAAGGAGCCGAGAGAGGAAGGTTTATGAAGGGCATGCAGTCTGGGTTAGAGCGTCTCCTGCACTCTGACCGCCAGGACGCCAGAGCAGGGAAGCTCCCACCAGACAGCACAGCAGGCAACACTCCCCTCAATCAGAACAGCAAACACAAAAATCTTCACCAGGGACAGCAATACAAGTACCAAAATTCCAGAACAGAATCTGAAATGGTTCATACGGTTCTAGGAGCAACCAGCTAAACAAAGAGAGGGACCAAAGAGCCCTACCCACCCAATTTGTTACAAACCATAGGTTTGTAGATACAATCTAAAATAGAATTGCTGGGGTGCCTGGGTGGCTCAGTTGGTTAAGCGTCTGCCTTCGGCTCAGGTCAGGATCCCAGGGTCCTGGGACCGAGCCCCATATTGGGCTTCCTGCTCAGCGAGAAGCCTGCTTGTCCCTCTCCCACTCTCCCTGATGGTGTTCCTTCTCTTGCTGTCTCTCTCTCTGTCAAATAAATGAATGAATGAATGAATGAATGAATGAATAAATAAATAAATAAATAAAATATTTTAAAAAATAGAATTGCTTATAACTAAGTGGAGAGAAAAAAGCTAAGGGCTTTTTAGAAGATTCAGGGACATTTAAAAAAAGGAAATAAATAGAGCACTTAAGTTATAGAAAAATAAGAAAGTTTTCAGAAAGTCTATACTTTTTGGAAACAATAAATTTTAGACAACTACTTTTGCTCCCAATAAAATCACACAGAATCTAAGAAGACAGGGATTGGGGGTTGGGGAAGGACGCTGGATAGGATACAGACAGAAATAAAAATGAAGCAGCATGAGGTAAATAAAAATTGGAGGGGAGAAACTGATAATGCAGGAGAAAAATTCATATCTACATTAGAATTGGTAAAGAATAAAATCAGATATGGAAGAAAACCAAAGGCAGAAAAAAAGAGACAGTGATAGAGTTGACAGGAATTAGTAAACATGCAGGCAGATACTCAAGAAAAGCATACGGATAACTTTTGGTTTCCAAATACTAATCAAAGAATATTCAGAGACAAGGGGTTAAAAATCTGGAACTGTGAAAGTCTAATGCTGGAGATTAATGACAAAGCAAAGAGCTCCTAAAATTTTCTAGTAAAATTCTATAAAGTTAAGGAGGGAGAGAGTCGCATATCTACAAGGTAACTAGTGGGCTGAACTCAGACTTCTCTGTCACAATATTAAATGCCTAAAGACAATGGGATAATATAGACTTTGGAGAGGAGAAGCTTTCAGCCTCAATATTTCTATTCACAAGCAGGTAATCATTCATGCAAAAAGTCAACAAAAAGTTTTTCAGAGATGGAGCGATACCGAAAAAGATGAACAGAAATTTTTTTTTTTAAAGATTTTATTTATCTGACAGATAGAGAGACAGCGAGAGAGGGAACACAAGCAGGGGGAGTGGGAGAGGGAGAAGCAGGCTTCCCTCAAAGCAGGGAGCCCGATGCGGGACTCGATCCCAGGACCCCGGGATCATGACCTGAGCCGAAGGCAGACGCTTAACGACTGAGCCACCCAGGCGCCCCAAGATGAACAGAAATTTAAAGGACATTAAAGGAAATCAGTGGAACTCAAAATATTAATGCAGACTCTCTAGCTTCTATAGTAACCTCCCCCCAAAAGAAAAAGTTATTCATCTTACCCTTATCGTAAGTGTAACTGGATCAATGTCTTTTGGTGTTTCATTTGGATTAAACTCTGTTTTAATATCTCTTAGGAAATGTGGTTTCAAAATATATCCAGAACAACCATTATCCAAAAATTTCCCATTTTGAAGATCCATAGGCAGACCAGGGGTCTGGAAGTTTAAGGCCACTGTGAGAAAAAAGTATTCTGTTATTGTCAGGAAAGAGAGGGTACATCTAAAGAAACACAGCTCAAAGATTTACTGAAACCGAATCATGGATTTTATATGTCCGAACATTTTAAGAGTGAGCATCATTAGCCAAATAATTCCTGATTTTTAAACATGTCTTCCTGCTATGTGTATATTAATGTATGAACGTGGGTTTTAATTTTTAAATTATAGCTTTGGTTTAAACATCAGACTGATACACAGTATAGATTATAGAATAGCAATGTGTAGGTCAGATGACATTCAGGAGATATGAGAATAGAGAAAATCAGTACACTTAATGCCAGAAGGAAAGACACTGAGTATATTTTAAATTTTCAGGCCCAAAGAGATACTGTTATCACTTGAAGAGGAAGTGGGAAACAAGCAGAGCAATAATTGGTGTTAAAATATAGAAGTCCCTCCATGGAGGTTGGTAAAAAGCCACTGTATGCAGTACCATCCTCCACTTCCCTAATACCCCCTCACCCACCTATCCTAACCCTACTCTCCCCCTCCCTCCACAAACCGATGGGCATTGCCAAGCCAGGAGCAGAGGCGTTCACACCTGGGACCCTCTGACTGGTTAGTGCCTGTGCTGTAACAGTGAATCAATTTGGAATAGGGAGGGTCTGGTAAAGACAAGTACCGGAGCCACGTAATCTCATTCACTTTTCAATACTGTGAATGCAGAAGCTGGTGTAAAGTATAAAAGGCAGAGGTCCCTTGATTTAAAGAAGCCCTTAGCAAATCTTTCAAGCAAAGGATTTGATATTCACTGTCCTCTTACATCCATTTTGATGTCTTTTTTCCCTTCCTACCCTTCCAATGCCAACTCTCCATGAATTGAACTTCCATGCCCCTAACCCTCCCTTAGAGTTACCCTCTCTGACCCATTTAGGAATAACTTCAGCTCTTGAAACTAATGATTCGTCATTATTGCCTGACCCTAAAACACCCAGGGCCAAAAAAATCTACTTGGGAAGCTCTTTTCATAAATCTTTCATTAATTCACAAAATGAACTTATTTTATCTTATTTTTGCAGAAACTCAATATTGTATATAACATACCCATTTGACAACCTATATTCCAAAATTCTTGAGGATTAAAATTAGAGGAGTCTGCTCTTGCTGCTTTGGGATAAATTCTGGTAATGAACTTGCTGGTGTGAAGAATAAACTCGTGGCCTAAAAAAATATATATGAGAACATCGTGAAAGATTTCAAATAAATAATAAACTGCTATGTTTCTATATATTATATAATTCTACAATTGTTTCAGTACTTTTGATATGTATGTCTTAGCAAAAATATTTGTAATTCATGGAAATCAAAATAAATCCATGCCTTTGTTTGACAGTGTAATTCACTGTTACTGAGAAGTTAATAATTTTTTATCATACAATTTTATGTATATTAATCATTCACTTGAGGAAAAATGATTAAATAATATATTTGTTTTTCACATCCAAATTAATCTCACTTTGACATAAGAATATATAAAATTTTCAAATAAAATGCATCCATGTTTTAAAAAAAAGTTGTATCTTTCTCCATTTTGTCTTTTTTTTTTTAAGATTTTATTTATTTGAGACAGAGAGAATGACATACAGAGAGCATGAGAGGGAGGAGGGTCAGAGGGAGAAGCAGACTCCCTGCCGAGCAGGGAGCCCGATGCGGGACTCGATCCTGGGACTCCAGGATCATGACCTGACCCGAAGGCAGTCGCCCAACCAACTGAGCCACCCAGGCGCCCCTTGTCTTTTTTTTTACTTTGGTTTTTGCATTAGGGCAGAATCACATGTAAGTCATATAAAGATATATAATGCCATCCAAATTAATCCAGTTGAATAACCAACAGATTCTCAGGGTTGAAAGGGATGTTAAAGTTATTCAGTTCAGCTCACAACCCTAACCACCACAGCATCTTCCCTCAAAATTCCTTCAATCTCTGTTTGCATCTCTCCATTGAAAGAGAACTTGCTATCTCCCAGTACAGCAGTCCCCCCTTATCCGTGGTTTTGCTTCCGGTGGTCTCAGTGACCTACAGTCAACCAGAGTCTGAAGCAGATGATCCTACTCCTGACAAATCACCAGAAGTTTGCAAATACCCTACAATCATTCATCTCATCTCATCTCATCACGTAGACATTTTACCATCTCACATAATCACAAGAAGGATGAGTGAAGTACAATAAGATATTTTGAGAGAGATCACATTCACATAACTTTCATTACAGTATATTGTTACCATTGTTCTATTTCATTATTAGTTATTGTTGTCAATCTCTGTGCCTAACTTATAAATTAAATTTATCATAGATGGAAGCCTGCTTCTCCCTCTCCCACTCCCCCTGCTTGTGTTCCCTCTCTCACTGTGTCTCTCTCTGTCAAATAAATAAGTAAAATCTTAAAACAAAACAAAAAAAAAAAACATAGTATATGTAGGGTTCAGTGCTCCACAGTGTCAGGCATCCACTGGGGGTCTTGGAATGTGTCTCCCATGGATAAGGGGACTACTGTAGTTCTGATTATTTTCAGATGTTTTCCTTACTGAGATAAGGTCTATACTTATAATACACACACACACACACACACAGTCCATTTGTTTCTCTATCTTTTATGTTTTTACTTATATATTTTTATAAGTTTCTATTTATATATGTTCTATCTAAATCACTTGAGATTCAAAACTAATATGTACTAATTTGTACCCTTTACCATTGGACATCCTTCAAATTTTTGGACATAGATTTCGTGTTTCTCCAAGGCTTTTATTCTTTCACTAAGCAGATCCTGTTCCCACAACTACTCCTGCTAATACGATGATCAGTATCGGGAGAAATGGTTACTGCCTGGGGCCCACTACATTTGCTGGTCAAACTGGAATTGAATTGATGCCCTCTCATTCCACATACTATTTTTTAGGAAGCATTGTCAAGTAGAAAAATTATAATTACTGAAGTTAATAATTATAATCAACTTCATCAGCTCTCAATTTTAGAAGTTATACACTCCTTGAGAGAAAGAAAGCTACTCGCGTATAAAGGCACCATGTTGTCCAACTATCATGATCCCTTATCCAGCCCTAAGCAAGATATTTATCTTTTGGTAAGAAGTGTACTCTTCTGGATCTTAATTTTCCTATCTACAAAGTGATAAACACAAATGATCACGAAAGACCCTTAACATAATATGATCTAGTTACTTCTGAAATTGACCTTTAGAAATTAAACATGTTATGTTATTATAAATGCAATTTATGTTCATCTTAGATAAATGAGAAAATCAAAAAAATAAGAAATAAAACTAATATAATCTCATCACTTAATTAATAACCAGTAACCCTTGGTATATATCTTTCCACTCTGTTGTCATAGGTATATTCTTATTTTTTAATTGAATCATATTGTTTGTTCCCTTATATAAACTTCCTTTTTTTAACTTAAAAATAACATAAAAAATCATTCCAATACTATTCACCTACTACATTATTTTTAAATGATTGAAAAGTATCCATGCATATAAAAAGTTGTTTGTTTCTTATTTTTCTGCATTATAAAATTGGTAACATTTAAGTTTTTAATAATAATGGACATTCTGGGTGCCTGGGTGGCTCAGTCGGTTAAGCATCTGCCTTCAGCTCAGGTCATGATCCTGGGACCGAGTCCTGTGTCAGGCTCCCTGCTCCACAGGGAGTCTGCTTCTCCCTCCCCCCTCCCCCCACTCGTTCTCTCTCTCTCTCCCTCTCTCTCTCTCAAATAAATAAATAAAATCTTTTTAAAAATTAAAAAAAATAATGATGGACATTATCTTAGAGTACACCTTTGCCCACATCATTAATTATTTATCATTGGATTTTGGTGCAAGAAAAATGCCCTATACTCTTTCCAAAGAAATGATGGTGCTACATTTTATGACTCTATTCAGAACCGCTCAGTGCCTTTTCAAATTTTGAGCAGGTGTCTAATACAATGAGAGTGAGAGAATTATAACAACTTTTGTTGTGCCCAGAGGGCTTGTCCCCTTGAGAAACAACAAAAACTATCCAATAATTTGAAAGAATAGAGACTAGCAAAGTAGGTCATTCAAGTTCAAACTCGGCTGACAATACTCACAGTAAGAAATATATCTTATATCACACGCAACACACAATACACACACATAATTGTTTCATAAAATAATACTCTTATTGCATCTCCATTATTCTATTCTATTCCATTCTATTCTACTCTATTATTTTAATGGTGGTGGTTCAGATTTACTGAATTGATTTTTGATCATCATCTACAGCTTAAAAAACAAACAAAAAGGGCCTAAAATATCCAGAGTCAGTTTGAAGAGATGAGCTGCAGTATGCCTCAAAACCCTTGGGTGCCAGTGGCCAGCCCAAAGTGGTTAACCAACAAATATATCAGAATCCGCATTTCCAAACAGCCAACAGCTGGTTTGAGTCAGTTGCAGGTGCTGATTTGCCTGCCATGGTGTTTCTATACAGGACGGTAGATTGCATTGTTTAAGAAGGATTTGGAGAGTCACTTGACTGCTGAGTTAATTGCCCATCCCTTTCCCCCCCCTTCTTAAATTCAGGTTATCCCCAATCATATAAGTCTGAGAATAGGGTAGAGTCGGCTTCCCATTCTCTTTCCAAGGCCTTGTTGCATCTTTGGCTCTAGCAAACAGAATAATCCACCTCAGGTTCAGAATCAGAAGACAGTGAAAAGATGCGGAGACCAATGGTACCACTGCAGATGTGCAGGGACAGTGCATACTCTGTACAGCCATCTGGCAGCCTGGCGTGGATGCCATGTCCTCCTTCTCCCTCACCTTGGACACACAGCCTCCAGGTCTATTTAATTGTCTACCTCAGGTGCCTACTGAGTCCACAGTTCACCATGGCTCCCTCTACCATGAGCCCTCATCTCCTCCCTACAGGGAGTCTCGCCTTTACACTGTTATCAAAGGCATCCTTCAGAAACACAGAGGGGATGGTGTGATTCCTGAGATTTCAATCCTGTTCACCTTTCTTGTGATTTGGCTCTGCCTACCTCTGCAGCCTTGTCACTCATCGCTCTCCTCTACAAACAGCTCACCAGGGCCCCACCCACAAAACTGTCCACACTGGACATTCTCAATCAAAATTTCATGACTTAAAGAAGTCAAATAAGTTCTGTGAAATCACTTATTGTGATTTGAGGTATATAGCCTTTTTTTAATTACATTAAATATGTTGAAAATTTATGAGAATATAGTTTTAGAAATGTCACTGACCAATCTTAACACCCTTGCAGTGAATTAAAGTTGTTTAAATACTTCATCTGTTTGAAACATAAGAATTTACCTTTCAACTTTGAAAGTTTTCGGGCTTCTGACTCCCCAATAGAATTACTCTCATTAAATTGCTGATATAGTCTTGAATGCTGAAAGCTTATGAACTTCTCGGCTTTGGTATAAATGACAAGATCAGATAAGGCCATAGCCACTTTTACCTATGTGGTATAAAAATAAAATGCAGAAATTTCATATTTTTGCAATAAATCATTTGAAAAATTCCTTTTCCAATAAAGTAAATATGCTTTCAGATCAATTATATAAGTCTTTTCATAATATTATCTCCTCAAAAACCGTTTGGAATGCATCAATGTGATTATTTTGTATTCAATGTGATTGAATAGTATTTAATGTTAACATGAGACAGCATACATTTAAAATCCCAACTAATGTAGTAAGTATTGAAGATGACAATTATTACTATTTCCTTTTTCCCAAAGATCTGTTTATTCTTGTGAATTTTGCAACTTGAGGATATTTAGTCATGAGTAAGTATATGTCCAATATGATCTAACATTTGGGAATAACTTCTGCTGTATGGTACACATTTATTCTTTTACATGTCAGCAACTAGACCTTCTACACCTCTGCTATCCCCTTCCCAAGTTTTGTTTTGGGAAAACATTCAATCCATGGGCTTAAGTATTGATAATGTGGCTCAGACCTGGCTAATCAGAGCTTTGCAGTTCCCTAGCAATTGCATTTGACTCTGGGCTGTGCCCATAACTTGATTATAGCCAATGCCCAAAAACATTCGCTTTGTCATGTGAGAGATAAGTAGGTCTTCCATTGGATTGAGCCTGAAAGCATCTGAAGCTAAAGCTTTGGAGAAGTCTTGCACCAATGTAGAGAAAGTGGATCCAAAGTTAGAGAAAGAAAGTTCTGTGGAGTTTGCTTGAGATATTATACCACGTAATTCCTGAAATCTGAACCCCTTTCCCTGAACTTTTCATTGATGTGGGCCAATTAACTAATTCACATTTTACTTAAACCAGCTGAATTAGTTTAATGTCACTTGCAACCCAAGATACCTTCTTTTGTCATGCTAATTTGTATACTTATAATCTATATATTATAATGGTGATTTTCTTGTCTCTGACAGTATGGTCTCCTTGAGGGCAGAAATATTATGTTGTTTGTATTTTGTACATTGCACAATGCCTAGTACATAAAAATGCATAAAATTGGACCATTAAGAAAACATTAAAAACAGCCAGGAGCACCTGGGTGGCTCAGTTGATTAGGTGTCTGACTTGATTTCAGCTCAGGTCATGATCTCATGGGTCATGAGATCCAGTGCCTGTCAGGCTCCACACTCAGTTGGGAGTCTGCTGGAGAGTCTCTCCCTCTCTCTCCCTCTGCCCCTTCCCCCACTCTTGCCCTACTCTCTCTTTCTCTCAAATAAAGAAATAAATTTAAAAAAATAAAAACAACACATATAACTTTAAAATATTCTTTTCCCATGTTAATTTTTTCTAAACAAGTTTTAAATGAAAGACTAGAATTTTTAGAAGGAGAAAAAGATTTTTCCCTCAAAAAAAAAAAAAGTTTAATTCTCTACCAGTAAGAAAATAAAACAACTTTTCAATCACTTGTAAGATTTTCACAAAGTATCATCTCACCCTCCTTCTCCTGAAAAGTGGTAATCCAGCTGCATTAATTGCCCCTGCTTCCTTCTGTGAATCATCTTCTAAAATAGCCAATGCTTTTGATTCTTTGATTTCATCGTCCACATCTTGATCTATCTCTTCATATTCTTCTACCTGACCATGCTTATCAGAACCTTTTCTTTCACGGGTTTCCCTTAAGGATCCTATTTTCTTGTTTCTAACTAATATTTTGAATTTTAATGCCTACAGAAACGATTTGAAAGAGAGAAACAATTACACATTTACAGGGAAGTTTGCATTTGAACAGTCATTGAAAAGTCTTTCACCATGTTTTCAGTTAGCCCACAGTAGTAAAATATGTAAGAACTCCATCTTTTTCCATACTCCTATAATACCTTAATAGAAACCAGTGATATTATAGTATTGACCAAAATTTACCCCAAAATAAGCCTGTTATATGATTGGGACTTACTATGGCTCCATTTGTTTTACTTTCCAAAAATTCCTACTATTTTAAAAAATTGACATACATGAAAATTATATGTGTATATATATGTATACACACATATTGTATATATGTATAATTTATATATATTTATTTATGATACATTTTCTATATTTTTATATATATATTAAAATGCTTGAAATGCTATAAAAGAATGTTACAACTTCTGGTAGTAAATGCTTCAGATCATTACTTTGTTATCCAACATTAAAAAGTATTAAATGAAATCAGGTATTCAAAAATGTCTATTGTAATGTTTGACACCTAGAATAGATTAAATTTAAGTTAAAGATTTGCAAATCTTCTTCATATTTCAACTGTATTGGCCACAAGCATCATCAACTCAATATTTCCTGTCCATCAAAACAAGGATCATGGCAAAATTGACCATCAGAGTCACTCATTCTAAATCCAAAGACTTCCAGTTCCTTTCTTTCCCTTATTTATCCCTGCCCTTTTCAACTATTAATTAATTTATCAACGTACTTTTTTTTTTTTTCTAAGGAGGCTCCACACCGAATGTGGGGCTTGAACTCATGACCCTGGGATCAAGAGTTACATGCTCTACTGACTGAGCCAGCCAGGCACCCCTATCAATGTACTTATTAAATGCCTGTTATGTTTAATATATAATGCTGCTGAAATCTGGACTATGAAATAAAGTTCTTTTCTTCAAGGAGCTTGATTTGTCCATTCCCTTTACTATTCTCAGGTACCCATTCCAATTATTCTATCACGTTAGACCTTCTCTCTATTACTATGGCCCTTATATTACTCTCTAATATGGAGCTTACCAAAGTGCACTATGCAACCACATTCATCAAAAGCATCACCTGGGCTCAGTCAATTAAGCATCCGACTCTGAATTGGCTCAGGTCATGATCTCAGGGTCATGAAATCATGCCCTGCATCGGGCTCCACACTGAGTAAGGAGTCTGCTTAAGATTCTCTCTCTACCTCTCCCTCTCCCCCTGCTCTCTCTCTCTTAAATAGATAAATAAATCTTAAAAAAAAAAATCATCACCTGGAGTGCTTGTTAAAGGAACAGATTCCTGGGATCTACTTCAAAATTAAAGAATCAGAATCTTGAGTTGTAGGGCTGGAATTATGCCGCTTTAACAAGTCTCTAGGCAATTCTTTTGTACCCCAGTGACCAAGTGAGGAATGAGAAAGGACTCTATCTCCAATTCCTCATTTAGTCATTGAAAAGCATTCCCTTACTTTAGTACAGAAGCAAAAACGTTAATGAAAACTACATATCTGGATGCAGAAAGTTGATTTATAAATAGGAGGAGGAATCCTATTCCTAGAAAACTATACATTGTTATAATTTCCTGAATTAGACCATTAGATTAAACCTTAGATTACATCTTTGATTAGATTAAATATTTGATGGTATGTTTCCAGCACGTTTCACAAGGTCTTTAATCTCTTTTCTGTCATAATTGAGCACATTTAGTTGTGAGCATTCTCATGGGGTGAAAGAGTCAGTTTTTCCATCTGTTCAATTTTTTTTGTTCATTTCAATACTATCATGATTCTTATACTTCTCATCACCAGTGTCACAACTTTCGTCTTTAAATTTTCCACTCATCTAAATAAAATATGGAAAAATATAAGGGAAAATATTCAAATATTACAAAAACACTGCTCTAAATACCAAAATGATGACACGTCAAAATGAAACTATTGATTGTTAGACAATCATGCAAAAAAAAAAAAAGTGTCATGCAAAAAAAAAAAAAAAGTTCGCTCGTCTATCACCTGATGAAATTTGGGGTGAGGAGACTAGGCTGGCAGAAGAAACTAAGAAAGACTGGCCAGAGAGGAAAGAGGAAAACCTAAAAAATATGGTATTACAGAAGAAAGTGTTCCAAGGAAAGGAAGGAGGCTTCCCAGTATTGAATGTTGTGAAGGAAAGAAGTCAGATGGTGACTGAAATAGGTCTGTTAGAATTTACTGGTAGAAAAGTCTCTGATGACAATGAGAAACTTACTGAGGTGCAGGTGGAAGAAGAAGCTCATTAGGTTGTGAGGAGATGAGAAAGTGGAAATTTGGGTTGAAACAGAGAATAATAAAGAGATAGCTGAAGAGAAATCGAAATCATGAGGCTAGTGTGGGCGTGCTTTTTTAAACCAAGTATTTGAGTATGCTCAGTTGAAGATGGAAAGGATCCCGTAAGAGACACGGAAACTGAAAAGAGCAGATTTAAAAAAAAAAAAAAAAGGGGGAAGGGAAGGGGCACCTAGGTGGCACAGTCAGTTAAGCATCTGACTCTTGGTTTCGGCTCAGGTGGTGATCTCAGGGCTGTGAGATTGAACCTTGCATGGGGCTCCACACTCAGTGCAGTCTGCTTAGATTCTTTCTCCCTCTGCCCCTCCCCCAATCTCTTTCTCCCTCTCTCCCTCTCAAGTAAATAAATAATTTTTTTTAAAAGGGGGTGGGGCAAGCCACCCAGATGCTAAGGAACTGGACACGGACTCTATTAATAACCTAGATCTTTGCCTCTTTCTTCACCTTTGCCTATAAAACATACCAAATTCCTGTGGCCTACTATTAACTGACTTGAAATTTTGGACTCATGGGGTATGGCACACAATAAAAATGTGAGCTTTTACCTATATCCCTATATATTCTCTTTATCAACATACATTTACCTAGATGCTCACGGGAACATTTCCCAGGCAACACATTGCAAAGATACACCTCTATGCATCATCAAAACTAAGCATTTTCATTGATCTCTCAACCAGTTTTATTGATCAATATAATAGTGACATGCTTTTTCTTTTTTTATAAACCTGAGCTTCTGAGACAAAAGGTTACCTTTGGTGAAGGTAGTTTGTCTGGATAATCATCAAGCATATCAGAAAGCAAGGCATCTCCAAAAACAGACTGCAAAATGTCTGCTATCACTTCTTGTTGGGAAGGTGAGCAGTGGTTTTCTAAAGAGAGCACCACTGGGTAGTCAGATGTCTAAAAAATTAACCATTGCTACGGTTATTGATCAGAATGCCTCAACGATTTTAATGCAATTAATAGAAACAGTTCATCTATTTTAAAACTTACATTCAATGTTCTGTACTTTTGCAAAATAAGTATTCTTTAAACTGAAATTACTTTTGATTTTGACATAACAGGGAACATTAAATCTGTATGAAAAGGAAGATTATTACTATTTATACTAGAAATATAGGAAACAATTGAAGCATCCAACAGTAGGTATTTGTTTAAATAAATTATGCCACGTCCATTTAAAGGAATGATATAAGTCTGGTAAGAAGGAGGTAAAGCTATATATACTGCTATAGAAAGTTATCTATGATATCTTCTTAGGAAGAAAAAACCAAGTTGCTAAAGAGTAAAGTTCTACATTTTAATGGTTTAAGCATATATATATTTGCTTACCATATATATTTATTTATTTAGAATTTTTAAATGTGAAGGAAACTTTAACACAGAGAAGTTAGAGGAGATGTTAATTTTCTACTTTTTTAGTCAAAGTCTATAATCAAAACTCATGGCTTTATAATTAGAAACAAAGATAAAGATAATAATAAAGAGAATCTAAAAAAAAAAAGAGAGAGAATCTATTAAGTAAAGATGGCTTTACAAAGATATTTTATGCCATTTGTCACACAAAATAGAGAAACCACATTCATTTTGGAGTCTCGTTTAAAATTATTTTCTTTATTTTGTTTCCTATATACTTACCAGGACACAAATTTACCAACTTGTAAACAAGCCAAGGACTTGCAAGGCCTGTTGCATTATCATAGACCTTTGAATAGGAGATACAATATTCTTCCTTTTTAATGTATGAGTATATTGGTTTCTTGTGGCTGCTGTAGCAATCGACCACAAACTTGGTGGCTTGAAGCAACAGAAATTTATTCTTTCATAATTCTAGGGGCCAACCTATAAAAGCAGTTTCACTGGCTAAAATCAAGGGAGCAGCAGGCTCTAAGGGAGATCTATTCCTTCCCTCTTACAGCTTCTGGTGGTTGCCAACCTTTGTTGGCTTGTGGCCATGTCACTCCAATCTCTACCCCTCATCTTTAGGTTGTCTCCTCTTTGTGGCATTTGGGCCCACCCAGTAATCCTGGATAATCACCTTATCTCAAGGTCCTTGATTTCATCCATCTGCAAAGACTCTTTTTCCAAATAAAGTAACATTTACAGGTTCCAAGAAGTAGAACCTTTGTGGGCCCTTATTCAGCCTACTACAATAACCTCATATATACTCACATACATATAAATGCCCTAGTCTAATATCAAGAGAACATTGTAAAATTTTTTCCCAAATATAAAAAATGATTTTGAAAATAGGCAAAGTGATGGCCTCCAGACAGATTTCTCAATTAGACCCTGACACTCATTGGGGAAAGTTCATCTTTTTTGAGGGGGGAGGGGGGTCTTCTGTGGTCTTTGGCTCCACCTTCAGGGAAGGTCCTCTTGTCTTATCTTGGGCCACATTTGAAGTATGTATTGAGGAGTTTGCTTTCCTTAATACCAGGCTACCTTTGCAGCTCACTTCTTGACCAAGGGTTGTTTTAAGGCTCACCTAAGAATCACACTTGTGTTTTATTTTGCCATGTTGTGTCATGCTATGTTTTGGCAATGTAATTCCCTTAAAATGTTAGACTCCTTACATATACCCACAGTTCTTTCCTAGTCATAATTATCGTCTATTTTATTTTATTGCTCTCTCTTCCCCAAATTAATGGTGACTATCTTGAGTAGAAAATTCAACCTTCATAGAGAAGAACACAGACAGCAACCTCTGTGTCCTCAGCTGCAGCAACTTCTTGCTAGAACGTCTCCAAAGGCAAGGGAAACAAAGGCAAAAATGAGCTATGGGGACTTCATCAAGATAAAAAGCTTTTGCAAAGCGAAAGAAACAGCCACAAAACCAAAAGACCACCGACAGAATGGGAGAAGATATTTGCAAATGACATATCAGATAAAGGGCTAGTATCCAAAATCTATAAAGAACTTATCAAACTCAACACCCAAAGAACAAATAATCCAATCAAGAAATGGGCAGAAGACATGAACAGATGTTTCTCCAAAGAAGACATCCAAATGGCCAACAGACACATGAAAAAATGTTCAACATCACTCGGCATCAGGGAAATCCAAATCAAAACCACAACAAGATACCACCTCACACCAGTCAGAATGGCTAAAGTTAACCACTCAGGAAACACAGATGTTGGTGAGGATGCAGAGAAAAGGACACCCTCTTACACTGTTGATGAGAATGTAACCTGGTGCAGCCACTCTGGAAAACAGTATGGCCGTTCCTCAAAAGGTTGAAAATAAAGCTATCCTTTGACCCAGCAATTGCACTTTTGGGTATTTACCCCAAAGGTACAAATGTAGTGATCCAAAAGAGCACCTGCACCCCAATGTTTATAGCCAAACTATGATAAGAGCCCAGATGTCCATCAACAGATGAATGGATAAAGAAGATGTGGTATCTATATACAATAGAATACTACTCAGCCATCAAAAAAATGAAATCTTGCCATTTGTGATGACGTGGGTAGAACTAGAGGGTATTATGCTAAGTGAAATAAGTCAGTCAGAGAAAGACAACTATCATATGATCTTGCTGATATGTGGAATTTAAGAAACAAAACAGAGGATAATAGGGGAAGAGAAGAAAAAAATAAAACAAGATGAAATCAGAGAGGGAGACAAACCATAAGAAACTCTTAAGCACAGGACACAAACTGAGGGTTGTTGGAGGGCACAGGGGTGGGGGGATGGGGACTGGGTGATAGACATTAAGGAGGGCATATGATGTAATGAACACTGGGTATTATATAAGACTGAGGAATCACTGACTTCTACCTCTGAAACGAATAACACATTATATGTTAATTGAATTTAAATAAAAAATAAATAAATAAGAATATACACAGTTATTATTCCACTTACATAAAGTATAAAAACAGGAAAACTTAATATGTGGTATTAGAAGTCAAGACAGTTGCCAGCTCTTGTTTGGGGGTTAATGACTAGGAAAGGCACAAGAAAGGTCTCTGGCTATTGGTTATGTATGTTCAATTTGTAGAAAGGTATCAACCTGTATGATGTTGATTTATATACTTGTACATAAATATAATACAGATTATATTTCAATAAAAATTTTGTAAAAAATGCAAGGTGGGAGTGAAAAATAAATAAATATATGATAAAATAAAATAATGTAATATAATCTTTCAAAAAAAAAAAGAAAGAAAATTCAATCTTTGATCTAACCTTTGCTACAAAACTGAGTCACCCTGTTCAGCTGAGAAGTCTCATTGAGTCTTTGTTGTTCAAAACCTTTTTTTCATTCCATCTCTTTCTCTTTGAGTCTTAGAAGCTGTAAGGGTTTCCATACTTTCAAGGCCTTTGAATTTTTAGATTGCCTCTATTCCCTCAGTTACCCACCCTGAAGGATGGGAGAGGGCTTGCTATGCAAGTATTTGGGAAGTGTTTTGGACAAAAGGAACAGGGAGTTTAAGGGCTTTGAGCTGTGTCTGAAAAAGAGTAAGGAGGCCAGAATGGCCGTGTGAACAATGGAGACACAAGTAGGAGTCAGAGGTAACAGAAAACAGGTTAAATGTGTATTTCAGTTCATATTTTGAGTGGGATTGAAGGTTTTGAGAAGGGGAATGACATGATTTGGCTTACCAAAAAGTCACTCTTGCTGAAACATTGAGATGAAACTGCAGGGGAAAGGGAAAGAAGGGGTTAATTGCAATATTCCAAGTGAGAGGTGATGGTAGTTGCCCAGGACAGTGACAGTGAGAGTGGGGAGAAGGGGTTAAATTCAGTATATATTTTGAAAGTAGACCCACAAGGATATACTAAAGAACTTATTGAAGGGTTGGAGAGAAATGAGGTGAGAAGGGTTAAAGTTGATAATGATTTAGGCTTGAACACAGGAGTTACCAGTAACTGAGATGGGGAAGACCATGAGAAGAGCAGACCCGGACGGAAGAGGAATATCTGGAACTCAGTTCTAAGCATGTTAAGTTAAATATGCCAGTTAAATATGCAAGAGGAGAGGGGTGCCTTTGTGGCTCAGTCGTTAAGTGTCTGCCTTTGGCTCAGGTCATGATCTCAGGGTCCTGGGATCAAGCCCCGCATCGGGCTCCCTGCTCAGCGGGAAGCCTGCTTCTCCCTCTCCCACTCCCCCTCTTGTGTTCCCTCTCTCGCTATATCTCTCTCTGTCAAATAAATAAATTAAATCTTAAAAAAAATATATGCAAGAGGAGATATCCAGGACATACTTGTCTATGTTGGTATAGAGTTCAAGGGAGAGATATAAATTTAGAAATCATTAGAAATTAAATGTTTAAGAGGATCAATGCCGGGGCGCCTGGGTGGCTCAGTCGTTAAGCGTCTGCCTTCAGCTCAGGTCATGATCCCAGGGTCCTGGGATCGAGCCCCACATCGGGCTCCCTGCTCAGCAGGAAGCCTGCTTCTCCCTCTCCCACTCCCCCTGCTTGTGTTCCCTCTCTTGCTGTGTCTCTCTGTCAAATAAATAAATAAAATCTTAAAAAAAAAAAAAAGAGAATCAACGCCATGTATTAATGTTTTATACTAAAATAGAAATTTTTCATGTTTTATATGTATATTTTGTAAAGTTTTAGTATTTTATACTCATATAATAAAGGAGTCGATTTAAATTTGTGATTTTTAAGTTATGTTTATATTTACAGATAATGTATTGACCTACTTAGGAGAACTTCAAGTTTATCAAATTTGTAAGTTTAATTTATTAGATATACATTGTTTAAGTACTCAGTAAGATTTTATTAAATCTCTTCAATGGCACTGCAATTGAAGTACTTAAGAAAGAAATCAAATATACTAACTTTACAAAAACAATTTAAAATGTCTGAAGGTGGTTAATTAGCCAAGTTCGTAAATAGAACCAAGTATTATTTTAAGCAGAGTGTTAAAACCCACTCAACTTATAGACTAGGATTTGTAGGCTGAATTTAGAAGCTCTCAAAAGAACTAGATCTCTGAATCTGTAACCTTAATAAATCCAACAATAATTTTTTAAAATCCACAGTAAACTTCTAAACATTCTTTGCTGTATGGATTGCTGCCATCATAGTCACAAAAACTGTCAACAATCTATATAATACATTGTTGACATATTTTATTGTGCATTTTGAAAGTAAAGTACTTGAATGTTGGTAAAATATTTACTATTATATAGACCAGTATTTCTCAAATTTTTTTTGGCCATAACTCACAGCAAGAAATATATTTTACATTGTAACACAATACACACACACACACACACACTATATATATATACACACACACACATATAATTAAACAAAAAGTTCCCTGAAACTTTCATCCCACTACTTGAGATTAACTTTGATAAATCTACCCTTAACTACATACTACATAGATCATAACACACCATTTGAAATATCACTGATCTAAACTAAGGTCGAGCATTATAGGATTTTGAAGCAAGTAAATTATATTTGGCTTAGATAACTATAACAAAGATACGCACGTACCATGAATGCATATTTCTGTATCGATTGGATGACAGTTTTAAACAGAAGCTTGCTGGTGAGTGTATAACCGTGGTATACAACAGGTTCATTTCGTGATCCATCCCAGCAGTCAATTTCCAGACAGCGACATCCTTTCACAAGGGCACTAGCAAAATTGAAACAAAATAAATTGTCATTTCTGGATCACTAAAAATGTATGCTATAGTACCAAAATATCCCAAAAACTATTTGTGATTTTGCAACAAATGTATAACAGAATCCATAAAAAAGACAAGGAGTTGCGTTGAACTGAACACACTTTGCTTCTTTTCTGTGAGCACAGCCCAGCATGGAAGTAACATGTGCCATCCACAGTTTCAGCACCACCAAGATGGTGCAATGTGGAGTTCTGGGCACTGTGAATCCTGCAATTTCTCCCTAGTCCTTACGCTCTCATTTCTACAAGGGCAGGAACTAAAATTTCAGTCTCGTAAAAAAATGTTTTCTAGATATAGTTCATAATCAATAAACATTTATTGTGTTTTTATTAGGAAAAAAATGGGAATTCTAGGGATGTAAGAAAACAAGTGGCAGGCAGACAGAAGTGATCTCCTAAAATACAATCTTGGAAGAGAAACTGAATGAAAAGAGGGCTGACTTGAGACATCAGGATTTTGGAATTGACAGCCATGTATCAGGAAGCAGATAGAAGAAGCCCGCTGCTATACTCGAAGATCTTTTTCCCAGAGAAAACCAAGTTAACACTTGTTTTCCAGGAAGTATATTGAGTTATCCCACTATGTCTAAGCCAGTGGTTTTCAGTCAGGACAATTTTGACCCCTAGGAGACATTTGGCAATGTCTGCAGACACTTTGGGTTGCCACACCTGGGAATGGGAAGGAAATTTGTAACTGGAATCTAATTCATAGAAGCCAGTGTTCCTGCTAAACATTCTACCATGCACAGGACCAGAACCCCACAGCAAGGAACAATCTGACCTCAAATGTGAAGATTTGAAAAACCCTACCCTAAACCATAACAGGAAAAGGGAGTGTGGTCCCAACATCAAGTACTTGATAGAAAATCAGTAGGTCTCCCAAACAGAAACAAAGGGACCATATGAGAAAATAGACCTTTTAGATCTAACACTCCTTGGGGGATCAAATTTAGTCAACTTTCTAAGGATATGACTCAAGCAATAGTCAGGGACAAGTGTTAACTGAGCAAAGATAAAGCAATTACGACCCCCAAATCCAGGTGCTGAATTCAGAAAATAAAGAGACCTTATGCTCCTTTGGGAATAATATGGATGAAAGATGGAGGGAACCCGAGGAGGTAGAGCATTAGAGGGGAAGGATATCTCGTCTATCTTGGAGGCTTCACCAAAACAGTGCAAAATATAAAATTAAATAATTAATAAATTTTTTTGAGTTTTTTGGAGGTTTGTTTTTTAAGACCATTTTTGTTTTACTTTTTAGGTGCACACGGCTTTATTCAGGTATATAGTTATGCACTATAATGTAAAATTTCAGAGTTTTGTTAGTCTGCTTCTCCTTGTGTTGGAGAAATGACCTAGTGTGCTCTTCTAAGAAAATTTTGTTTACCCATTGATATTTCCATGGGTGAATTAGGTGATAATCTAATTTACGTACAAGTCCTGAACTGGGCTATATTTGTAGAATTCAAAATGAATGTATTTCTCTTCTCATCTTGTGGATTTATTTACATATTTAGATTTTAAATTGGAGAAGAAGCAATATCTATTTGTAAACTTTATTAATTGCCATTAAAAAATGTTTGCATCACTCTCCTCTTAGTTGATTGTCAAAGTAAATTATCTTGCCCTTTTTTTATCACTACAAAATATCAGTCCTCTGGGCTGTTACCAGAGAATAATATTGAACGTTCCGCTGGGAAAACAAAAAAAAACTGCCAAAAACCAAATTGTGAAAGAAAACTTTCCATGAAGGACAACCTAAATAATACTGCTTCTTGCTACTTCTCTAGATAGCTTTAATTTTATCCTTAGATCAAGCCAACCTTTACCGAACTGTTTATTTCCACTACATGGTTTGGTCCCCGGCAAAAATGATTTGAGTGGATTTCACTGTGTCAAGCCAACTCCTTTTATTCAGAGACACATAAAAGAAAGTTGTGTCTCCCCCAGTGGTGTTAGGGAAGCCACTTTCTACTATTTCACACTGAATCCCCTTTTAGGAAAAGAATAATAGAAATGTCTCTGTCACTCAGTAAAAAAAAAAAAAAAAAAATTCCACTTAAATAAGTTTAAGGGGCTTTTCATGGATTAAAATATTTAATGCTATAAGGCAGTTAATATTAGTCTTCCTCTTTTAGAGATGAGGACGTTGAGAATCAAAGAGGTTGGAGCTGGGGCGCCTGGGTGGCTCAGTCCTTAAGCATCTGCCTTCAGCTCAGGTCATGATCCCAGGGTCCTGGGGTCGAGCCCCACGTCAGGCTCCATGTTCAGTGGGAAGACTGCTTCTCCCTCTCCCATTCCCCCTACTTGTGTTCCCTCTCTCGCTGTGTCTCTCTCTGGCAAATAAATAAATAACCTTTAAAAAAAAACCAAAGAGGTTGTAGCTGACACATAATTAACAAAGGACGGAAAGAGAGGAAAGATCAGCACCAGAAACTTTGCGTTAATCGATCGTTACATTATACCACCTCTCCTATGTAGAGAAATTTTGAAAAACTTGCATTCTAAGAGTGTATCTTCCACAAGTGGGTGGAAGAAATACAATTAAATTTAAATACAATTAAATTAAATTAAAATTTAAATGTTTAGTTGGGCGGAATATTTTCTTCATTCAAAAGCAAATTTTCTGCATTTCTAAGTCAACTTGACTAAAATGCATTTTTCCCTTTTTAAAAAATTAATTAAGTATGAGTAGAAATTTCTGTAATGAAAGTATAGCTATGAATTGGGTTATCCTTATGGAATTCTAAATGGATACATTTCTGAGCTCATGGATTCATGTGTTTACCTAAGATTTTAAATTGGTGAAGCCATGTTCATTTGTAAGTTTAATATTATCATGGAATTATGAAATATCTTTTCCACCCATGATATCCTTAATTAATGTCAACCAATCACATAGCTTTGAATATCATCTGTGTATTGATGACTTCCAATTCTATTTTTCTAGTCTAGATATTTCTTCTAAGTCCCAGACACATATACTTACCTGACTGACCTAGCCCTTTGACAATGAATTGGTATCTCAACTAAATGTGGGAACTGTTACACTCTTGCTTTTGCCTCACAACCTAGAATGGCCTCAGCAGGCTTCACTATCTCTGTCAATAGTATCATTGTACGCTAAGTTATCAGGCCAAAAATCTTGATAGTATTCTCTTTCCCTTATACCTCCCTTCAGATCACCTGGTAAGCCTTCTTGGCTCCACCTCCTTAAAATATTTCAAATTCAACCACTGATCTCAACAGCTGCCTCATGAATTCATCATCTACATAACCATCACCAGCTGCATTGCTAATATATCTTCTCTAGTCATCTTCTACCTCCACTCCTACACCATCAGTCTTTCCTGCACAGTAGAAAGTAAATCGAATTATGACATTTTAAGGAAAACCTCTCCAATGGCTTCCCAATGCAACTGGAATAAAATCCAGTCTCCTTTCCATGGCCTCTAAGACCCTCATAAACTGACCGTGTCTACTTCCTCAAACTCATCTCCCTTCATTCTCCATTCATTTGTTTCCAGCCAAACTTGCTTTCTCTCATTTGAATATACCTAAGCATTTATTATTTCTTCTACTTAGTGTGCCCTTCCTACCAAATATTTCTGAGGTTTCCTCTTTATCATCACTCAGACCAAACTATGTGACCCCTTGAGAATCCTTTCTTGACACTTTAACTAAAGTAACACCCTCCACCCCATCTTTACTTTCTCTCATGTTACCCTAGTTTACTTTCTCCATGTGACTAATCTGTCCTTGAAAATATCAGTCTGTTTACCTGCTTATGATGTCTATTCTCATGAACACATGAGCTCTGAAAATCTTGTTCACCAATAGATTCTCAGATGACTGCCTAAGCTGAAGCCTGGTATTGACAGTGTGATACATTGTAGAGTGCAAACTTCGAGGTGTGGCATAGATTGCTTAATCTATGTAAATCATTTGACATATAAATCTCTATATTTATCTATCTAATCTATAAATGCCAAAGTATATAATTTATCTATTTATGTGTTGCCTTTACTTGTAGATGGTGTCTTGATGTCTGGGAAATAATTTTAACTATATTTTTTAAAAATCTAAGATGTTTTGGGGCCCCTGGATGGCTCAGCCGTTAAGCGTCTGCCTTCGGCTCAGGTCATGATCTCAGGGTCCTGGGATCGAGCCCCACATCGGGCTCCCTGCTCGGCGGGGAGCCTGCTTCTCCCTCTCCCACTCCCCCTGCTTGTGTTCCCTCTCTCGCTGTGTCTCTCTCTGTCAAATAAATAAATAAAATCTTTAAAAAATCTAAGATGTTTTGGTGAAATAAGATAAGAACATTCTTCTTCATATAGTTTCCTATAGGAGGTATCCAAATTATTCAGGAAACCTCAGAGGGGCAATAATCAGGGAAAGAAGGTCAATAGGCAGAATTTGAAGGAAAGTGTATGATACTAAAATATAGAATAATTATATAGCCATCAAAGGTTGGCTCTCCAAGATATTCACAAATCAAAATTTCTTTTTCCTATGTTTTTGCACAACATCCATAGTCTTCTTTTACTGTGAATTACCACTTATTGGAACTTCCAAGTGCTGTAAAATGTAATGGATATAAAAATCAAAATAAATACCTTACATATCCCCAAAGGTCACTTGGTCCCAGTAACTGGTCAGATACCAAGTATGTATTATGTGAACTTGAAATAAAATAATCATTTAATGGATGATTCATATCTTGATAAACTTTTCCACAATCAGTTTTAAGTATTTGACATTCAGGTGAACCCATGTATCTTATAAAACCTTCAAATGACATCTGGTGTGCTCTCTTAACTATAAAAAATAAATTAAAGGGATGCAGAAATATCATTAACTGTATAAAAATTACATCTCATTTTAAAATTTATTCTATAGTAGAGCATGTTTCTAAAATATTCATTTAGAATTAATATTGATACTATTTCTAATTTTTCTGTGGAAACAATTTTTTTCTAATGAATACCCCTAGTTCTTCTATATCAACATTCAAGTAGAGAGTATATTATTTAATTCATCTCTGATTTTTTAACGTTTTAAAATACGTATAAGAGGGGTGCCTGGGTGGCTCAGTCGTTGGGCATCTGCCTTCGGCTCAGGTCATGATCCCATGGTCCTGGGATCAAGCCTCGCATCGGGCTCCCTGCTCGGCAGGAAGCCTGCTTCTCCCTCTCCCACTCCCCCTGCTTGTGTTCCCTCTCTCACTGTGTCTCTCTCTGTCAAATAAATAAATAAAATCTTTAAAAAAAATACATATAGGAAAATACATATATCATAGGTCAATGAATTTCCATAAGCTAAACATCTAGATAAGCAGCACCCACCTCAAAAAACAAAACATTGCAGCACCCCAGAAGCCTGCCTTCTGCTAACTTTTCAGTTTCTCCCTCCTAACTGTATTCAGTGGTCTGGCTTCTAAACACCTAGATTAGTTTTCTCTGTTTTTTGTGCTTTATAGGAATGAATTCACACACTACGTATTTTTTTGTGGCTGATTTATTTTGCTCAACATTGTTTCTATGATTTATTCATAGCTGCATATAGTTAGACATTGTTTATTCCCATTGTTGGATAGTATTCCATTGTGTGAGTACACCACAATTATTTATCAATTTTATTCTTGAGGAGCAGTTAGATCATTTCCAGTTGGAGGCTCTTACAGAGAATGCTGCTATAAACAACCAGTAAATGTCTTTTGGTGCAAATATGTATACATTTCTGTTGGGTACATGTTTATGAATGGAATTGCTGGATCATTTGCATATTAGCATCTTTAGTAAACTATCGCTGAACTTTTATACTATTGGCATAACATTACCAAAATTATGTATTTAAGCAAAACACTGACTCTGGAATCAGACAGTTTTAGTTAAATCTATTTACTTGTTACACATTAAGCATGTTAGTTAACTTCTCCCTATCTTTGGGATGATAGTAATCATAGCTCCTATCCTTATATATTAGTTACATAAATTAGCTCTATCAATGCTAGTTGTTATTATTATTTTGTTATTCATAATTCAGTTTGTCTCAAAATAACAGCTGGTGTGAATATTCACTTTAAACTAGAGAGTGATCCTTGACAAAGAATTTTATTTCTGGGAATTTATACTATAGAAATAGAGACTCAGACAAAGATTGATATGCAAGAATGCTCGCTCACACTAGCGTTATTTATAAAAGCAAAATAAATGGGGGAGAAAACAAATTAAGGCTCAAAATATGATACAGTACTAAGCAGCAATTAAAGATAATGTATCAGAAAAAATATATAGTGACAAAAGTAAATGTTTATTACTTCATAAAAGTGAAAAAGCCAGCATTCAAAATGCTATTACAATTTTGGCTTAAAAAAATGAAAGCTAGAAAAGAATACATAAAATGTTTATAGGCAGGCAAACTCTCTGTTTGAAAGACATGAAAATTTAGGAGTATGGGAGCACATGGGCAAATGCATCATATATTGTAATAGTAAAGATTTGCATGAATTTATTCTTTTTTCTGGAGCAGTGATTGCTTTATAGCCCTTTTGAACTACTGAATAATTAAGTTAATATCTTTGATAATGAAATAGAAAACAAACAAACTCATTTTGTGCCCTTAAAAACTACAAGATTGAGATGAGAGTTAATCTCATGGATATTTAAAAGATTTTATTTATTTATTTGAGACAGAGAGAATGAGAGAGACATAGAGCACATGAGAGGGGGGAGGGTCAGAGGGAGAAGCAGACTCCCTGCCGAGCAGGGAGCCCGATGCGGGACTCGATCCCGGGACTCCAGGATCATGACCTGAACCGAAGGCAGTCGCTTAACCAACTGAGCCACCCAGGCGCCCAATCTCATGGATATTTAAAAACCTCTTTTGGTGCATATCACGTACCAAAGTGGGATGAGATTGAGGAGCCAGCAGTATTTGGGACTATCCAATCATAATTCTAATTGGCCTTAATAAGTGATCAATAAGCATGTAAATGAAACACAAGGTCTTGGGTGTGTGTGAAAGTATCTGAGCCGGAGGGAGGCTCAAACGATGTAATGGATGAACAGTGTAGTATTATAGTTAAAATGCAAACACAGTTCCAAGATGTCACTGCCAACCATTTCATTATCCTTTTTTCTTTTTGATTTACCCCTGCAGGTAACGGTGCCAAAGTAATTTTTTTTTTTTTTTTGAATACTCACTACTACATCAGTGCTACTCAAAGAGCTTATCTGTGGACTGGTTGTTTCCAGTCAGCAATTGCATAAAGAGCTTGAGCCAAAACATAAATCAATTCACTACTTCTTTAGAGAAAATTTTTGCTGTTAAAAAAAGAAGTAGACAGCTGAACTTATCAGGCATGCTTAGTGGTGTAGTTGTTTTACATCCTGGTGCAAGCTCTTTATCTTGTTGCAAACCTGCAAAAATTTTAATAGTGATCACACCAAACTCTTACTAGTACTGCATTCAGTCTTACCACTGCAACTCTCCAAAATCTTTTCATGACAGTGAGTCGTGGAGCCCAAATCCTAATTATGACCTGCAAGACAAACATGACTTGATCCCTGCTCATCTCCCAAATTCATCTTGCCCTCATTCTCCAAGTTCCAGCCACACTGTTCTCTTATTTCTTGAATTCTCCAACTCATGTCCAATACTTTTCTTCCCTTGACCTCAGAAACTTCTCCCATTTTGTCACATGACTAGTTCTTTCTTATCAATTTGGTGTCAGCTTAAAGGTCACATCCTCAGAATGGACCACCCTAAACACCCAACCCAGCTAGTCTTCCTGGGTTGTTTACTCTCTATCACGCACAGTACAGAGCATTCTGTGGAATCATCCTTTTATATATTTATTCATTGTCAGTCTCCTTCACACCCCCATCATTAACATAAGACCTACTTTGCCTTATTCTTCATAAGGCAGTATCCTCAGTCCCCAGAAGCAGACTTGGTTGCCACAAATAAATATTGGAATAAGTTATGAATATGTGACTCAATGAAGAAATGTTTGATTTTGTTAGAACCCATATTATCATAAACATTGGTACATAAACCAACTTTCAAATGAGGCAGAACTTGAACTTTCATACTTCCCTTGTTAAATAAATATTCTGAGCTATTTTATTAATTTGTGTAGGGCTAAACACTGCTTTAATGGTACTTTTACATAATTATGTGAATATTTTATTATATTATGTCTATTTTCATTTAAAGATACGCATAAGTGGAAAAAATGTGAAATGTTTTGCCCATTAAAAAGTGGGACAAAGATCAAAAATTATATGACACATGATTAGCTTAAATGGTCATTTAATTCAAACTAGAGGACTAAGGGTGCCTGGGTGGCTCAGTAGGGCTTCAGCTCAGGTCATGATCTCGGGTCCTGGGATTGAGCCCCTGTCAGGCTCCCCGCTCAGTGAAGAGTCTGCTTCTCCCTCTCCCTCTACCCCTGCTTCCACTCATGCTCTCCCTCTCTCTCTCTCTTTCAAATAAATAAAATCTTTTAAAAAATAAAATAAAATAAACCAGATGACTATATTCAAAAATGAAGGAAAATTTTTTTCATGTTTATGAAACTTTATAGACAATTATGTATATAAACAATGAAGAAAGTAGTGATTTTATAATATTTTACTTTTTTCCTAGAATAGTTTTCACTTAGCTATTTAATACTTCCATATATTTTCAGTAGTATAATGTATAAATGTAGAAGACTATTACTTGGTTTTTAACTTATTAATGAAAATGAAGACTCTTTCATCACAGTACATGTAACAGAATCTCATCTTGCTTTCCATGCCTAAACTGGTCTCTGAACACTTAAGAGATATACCAAAGCAGTTTAAAAAAAAAAAAAAAAAAAAAGGAAGCTTGACAATGAAGTAGGAAAGAATGTAACTGTTTTCACAGTGCAGTTTTCTAAAAAGTATATATACAGTCTATAAAATATAGAAATAAAACTGCCAATATTTTACATTATCCAGAAGAAATCTGACCCATCCCAAAATTTTAACTTGATAACTGTAATTCATAAAAAAATACTGTGCATTTAGATATTTGAGAAAACTTTGAAATGTAAGCATACCTTCTTCAATAGGCTCATACTTTTGAATGATCTCAAAAGCAATATTTGTGGTCATGTCAAGTGCATACTGTTCTTGTATCAAAAATTGAAGCAGGTTTTTTTCAAAAAGAAATCTCTGGTTTCCAGAATATGTGTTGAAAATCTCAATAATTTCTTCTCTGTGTGCAATAATTCGATAAATTGATCTAAATTCTTCTATGGTGATTCTTCCTTGCTTCAGCCTGTCATTATCCTACTAAAAAAAAATGACTGGTGGGCTCACATTGTGAATATAAAAAATACACAAAATAAATAGTTTATAGAGTATTTGTGTAATATATATAACAACTAATACTTGAAAGAAGATGAATCTTACATTGGATTCTTATCTCAAATAAAATATATAGAACTGCATGAAATGATGCTGAAGTTGGAAAAAGGTAAGTGGAAAATACCACTTAAAACCCAGTGGCCAAAGATGTCCATCGACAGATGAATGGATAAAGAAGATGTGGTATATATATGCAATGGAATATTATGCAGCCATCAAAAGGAATGATACCTTGCCATTTGCAACGACATGGATAGAACTGGAGGGTATTATGCTGAGCAAAATAAGTCAATCAGAGAAAGACATGTATCATATGACCTCACTGATATGAGGAATTCTTAATCGCAGGAAACAAACTGAAGGTTCCTGGAGTGGGGGGTGGGGTGGGAGGGATGGGTGACTGGGTGATAGACACTGGGGAGGGTATGTGCTCTAGTAAGCACTGTGAATTGTGCAAGACTGTTGAATCTCGGATCTGTACCTCTGAAACAAATAATGCAATATATGTTAAAAAAAAAAAAAAAGAAGAAGGTAGCAGGAGGGGAAGAATGAAGGGGGGGAAATCGGAGGGGTAGACGAACCATGAGAGACGATGGACTCTGAAAAACAAACTGAGGGTTCTAGAGGGGAGGGGGGTGGGAGGATGGGTTAGCCTGGTGATGGGTATTGAGGAGGGCACATTCTGCATGGAGCACTGGGTATTATGCACAAACAATGAATCATGGAACACTACATCTAAAACTAATGATGTAATGTATGGGGATTGACAAAAGAATAAAAAAAAATAAAAAACAAAAAAATTTAAAAAATTTTAAAAATAAATAAATAAATAAATAAATAAATACTCAGACCAGGAAAAAAAAAAAAAAAACAGTGGCCATAGTGGGAATGGAAAAATGTGTGGGAGTTGATGAGCATTCTAAATTGTCTTTCAATTATACGTTTCATTTTTCTCTTCCACTCTCCTTCAGTACCTTCTTACAGCCATGTGAGATGGTTTGTAATCCCATGCCACTGATACACATAAACATCAGAGTAAATCTGAGACATTCAAGGTCACTGTAAACTTCAGAATTTGCAGGGGTGGTAATAGCACTACAGTAACCACAGTAGCTACGGAGAATCTTGAGGAAGTGAAATGTACATTATCACTGAAGGATTGGGGGCAGCGACAAACAAGGTGGGTTCTGATAAGAAAGAGTGGATTCACCTGGCTTTTCTGGAAAATTCATGTTTGAACTTTATGAGATGGAAACAAGAAAGTGGGCTGTGTCCAATTATTAAAAGCATCAGAAATAGTGTGAGGTTCTGAGTAGGAAAATGAGTAGCAGAAGTAAAAGTGTAGAATGACCAGTTGGGCGTGACCAATTGGAAGTGACAGAGAACTGCAGGATGGAACATAAATTAAACTCTCTGAGCTTCATATTCTTCATCTGAAAAATGGCATTTTTCACTACCTATGTCATCAAGTTGCTGTGAGGACTGCAAATATACAATAAATGGTTGTTCTAGATATCAATGTATTGCTATGTCTTATCAAGTTCTGCTTCCCTCACATCATCCAGCCTAGTGTCTCATCTTTTGCACTTTTGCTCATAAAATGAACCCCTACGGTACAACAGCAAAAGTTCAGTGGTAGACCAGACAGTTTGATATGAGGGATCCAAGAAGCAGTCTGAGCTGGGAATTGAATATGAAGAGTATCAGGTTAGTTCACAAAGGAATGTGAATCCATGCGTATGGGGCAACATGAGGAAGCAGGGACTGGGATGAAGCCCCAAATGGGAATGAGATGAAGATAAGCTTGGGAGAAAAGCTGGGATCTGTTCTTGGCAAATTGGGCCCAGAGCTCATTCAACAATAATAGCACCTTAAAATTATATAATCTTAAAGTAATTCATGTTATCAATTATCTTTGTAGACTAACAAGATTCAACTTACTATTTTTAAATTCTGTATTAAAGTCAATGTCATAGAATTAAATTTATTTTATTTTAGCCCCATCCCACTCATAATTTGTTATATGATCTTTAACAAGCCCATAAAAATCAAGTGTCCCTGTAATTCCCACAAATTTGGTTATATAAAATTGTATAAATTAAAAATTACAGTCCTATTAAGTAGCAGTATAAAATAAAATACATTATCCACTAAGTGATGAAAGTTTTATTACTTTCAAGCAAGGTTTAAACTTGGCCATCTGACTTGCTCTGTTTTGTTTTTCCCAAAAGATCAAAGTTGTCATCTGATACTAGAAAGAATTAGAGATGTAAAGTTCAAACAAAATTCCACAAATCCAAATAACTGCTATTTGATCCAACCCAAAGGAGTTAACAGTCAAACACTAATTAAATTACCAAAAAATAAAAACCACACAGAATAGATGAAAATTGTATTACTGAAGATGGGAAATTTTAATTTTAGTAGAAAGAGAGAAGGAAAAGGAAAGCAAAGGAAGTCAGTAATGATGGAGCCTGGATAACGAAATCAGCAGCAGGGAAAGCGGGAAAAAGGAAAGCGATAAGCAAGAAGGATTCAAATCTGAGTACTGACACACATAATAGTATCAAAACTGATAGATTACCAATGTATAAATTTAATATCTCCCCTGTAGGAGGAAACTGGGGCTCAGAAATCTTAGGTCAATTGTCCCCAGTCCCACAGGCATGGTAGACCAGGATTTGAACTAACTCCAAAACCACACAGAGGAACAGCAGGAAGAAAGACATGTCAATACACCATCATGCATATCGACAGTATATAAGTAGAAATAAATTGTGTAAAATACAAATCTGATCCTTTCAACCACCTGTTAAATTGCTCAGTATTTCTTTTTTGTCTTCAAGACAAAACCCAAACTGTATCGTGTTGGCATCCAAGGTCCTTTAAGATGTCATTGATGGTGTCTGCTCTAATCCTTTTCTTTCTTGCACCTCACACTTTTGGTGCTCTGAATTAGTTACAGTACAAATACCAAACTCTCTTGCTATTGCATAGGCTGTTTCTTCTGTCTGGAATACCCTTCTTTCACTTCCTAACTTACTAATTTTTACTAATTCTTGGAAAAGTATCCTCCTCTAGAAGTCTTCCCAAATGTTCCTTTCTGTCTCCCCCAGGCCACATCAGATAGCCCACCTCTGTTTTTTTTTTTATAAGACTCTGAATCTTCTTCTATCATAGAATTTATTACACTGGAATGAAAGCCTTTTTTTTTCTAAATCCCTTCTAGAATTGCCTTGAACAGGAAGTTTGCCATTTGCTTCTTGTACTCTTAGTACTTAAAAGAATAAAAGAATGCCTGACTGAAGGTATTAAGAACATGATCTAACACCTAAACAGTTTTACAATTCTGGTGAAATACGTGCATTTAACTGGATAAAGAGTTAACATATCCCTAAACCTAGGAAGAATAGGAAAATATATTTTTAAATACATATTACCAAAAATATGCAAAATCTTGGGCCCCACTTCAGGGAATACTACAGCTTTTAGAAATGTTACATATTAATAATTTATAAATACAGCATAAAACAAGAGTAATGAAGCCATTTTTCTCTTGTTTAAAAAAAATTCATTAAGTGGTTAGTCTCTACAAGGCATTACAAAAAGAACTTTACCAAACAACCCATTCAATGTTTATGTATAATTTAAAAGTATATGTCTTACCTTAAGACCATGAACACCATGAAGGTAGATATTTTATTCTTTTTATTCCCAATGCCTAGTACTGGACCTAGCCTAGCATAGGACATTAGTGACTGTATGTTTGAATGAATGGTTGAAAACATGAAGATAAAAGAACATATTAAAATGATTCTATTGATATTCTGATAGTATGCTTTCAGAAAACAAAATTAAAGCTTTTCTTGTAACCATTTTCCCTTGCTCAATTTGCTAGTAAAAAGATGAAGTGTCACTTAAAATAATGACCTCACAAGAAATTTGATCTATCGAAACACAGAATTCCCTTTTAAATTAAGATGAGGTGTTTCAATTTGTCTCCAAAATTACACTAAAAACAGAGTATTCAAAATATATCACAGGAAATGATATGATTTGCCACCTTTTTCCCCAAACTCTGACATACTAATTTACACTGCTTAACAACTCTGTCTTCTCTCTGTCTTCCCTTTCTTCCTAACTAAATATATGAATCAGAAATGAAATAGAGTAGTAAGGATGTAAAGGCAACACCTTATCAGTGCCCCCTGGGAGCTCATATTCTAGAAAAGGAAAGCTGACATGAAAGTGTTAAAATGGACACTTTACACACAACAGAAAAAGAAAGTTGGGCAATTCCTCTTGGAGACAAAAGGTCTTCATAGAAGAGGTGATCCTGGAGCTGAACTTTCATTGAGAAAGAAGATGGTTGCCCGAAAGTGAAGAGGAAAAGGGTTATTCTAATTGTTGGGATCAGAGCAAATAAAACACATGACAGTACAAAACAGGAATGTGATTAGAGAGGATGTTAGTGAAGCTGCAGTGAGAGATAAAGGTGAAGTCAAAATTGCATCCTAGAGGCCCCTTGGATGCCACACTGAGGCTCTCAGACTTCATTCTCAACCAGTGACTGACTGATGAGCTTTAATGAGGGAAATCATGTAGATTTTGTTTTAGAAAGATCATTCTGACAGCTACATACAAGGTAGGATTAAAAGCAAGGAACCAGTTTATAGGGCTATTCTAACTTTAATGGACATATAAGTCACTGAGGGACTTGTTCAAGTGCAGTCAGCTTCAATATGTCTGATTCTGTGTTTCTAACAAGTTCCCAGGGGATGCAAGAGATGCTAGTCTGAGGAGCACACTTTGAGTAGCGAGCAGTTGGAGACCAATTGACTTTGTGTAGGAATAAAATAGCCCTTAAAAGATTTGAAAATTTGATGTAAAGGTAAAGTAAGAGAAAGAGTCTGGGACTCTCT